GTTTTTTCCACCATACATCTCATACATCTGTGCATTTTCTCTTTAGGTGACTGAATATTTAAGAAATTGTGTGCATAGTTGCTGAGTTTTTATAAATTGTTGTATCCTGTCAATGCATATAGTTCTGTGACTCCAGTATATCTGGTATCTGTACTGACCAAACCTAAATAAAAAATTTTATTGTAACTTAAAAAAAAAATATTTAGGGTAGAGGGGTTGGGGGAGTCAAAAGTGATCTCTCAAAGGCTAAGAGAATATAGAGTGCTGTTGGCATTGGATTAGATGTTAGAAGTCATCTAAAGATTATTTAAAGTATATAGGCGAACATCCATAGATTATACACAAATACTGCATCATTTTTATATAGACAGGGGTCCTGGAGCCAATCCCCTGCAGATACTGAAAGATGACTGCAATGGTTTTGTGTATCCATCCTAAGAAACAGTTTTTAGAGAGAGGTCTTAAATTGAGATCTATCACTTTCTGCCTATTTAGATGCCAGAAGGTGAGCAGCTGTGTTGTAAAGGCCTGGGGAAGGTGAAGCAGCCATCCCTGATAGTGGGGACTGGTAGCTGTGAGACACCTAGTTTTTGGAGCATCAGTAAGTGCTCCCTATTGTTGTTACAGTACTGAGTTTAAAAGTGGAAACTGAGGGGTTGAAGGGCCCACTGGACTGGCTCTTCTGGATAGCCTGAAAGAAGATGCGGCTCTAACCAGCAGGTGCTGTTCCTTTGTTCCTCCTAGGTGTTTGAGAGGCAGCTGCAGCTCGCTGTGTCTCTTAAGAAGCCTTTGGTGATCCACTGCCGAGAAGCTGATGAAGATTTGCTGGATATCATGAAAAAATTTGTGCCGTCCGACTACAAGATTCATAGGTTAGAGGCTGGAACTTCAGTAGCAAATCAAAGAAATGCTCCCTGCTGTACAGGACTTTAATTGAGACAACAAAAAGTCAATGAAAGCTAGTTATGTTGTGTATCATTAAGTCAGAATTGACCCATAGCTGACCCTCCAGTGCATTTTCAGAGGCAGTAAATCACATGGGAGGAGATTGCCCATCTTTCTCCCATGGAGCTCTCCCTGGTGGGTTCAAGCTGCATACTTGTGGGTTGGCAGAGTGACTCCTTACCACTCAGTCAATATTGTAGTGTTTAGCTCCCCCCCCCCAGTATTGTGATTGTAAGTGTTTTTTTCCCTAAGAAATACTAGCTTGTTAATTCTTTTTTTGTAAAGATGTGTTAGGTTGGACCATATGAAATTGATTTAATTTTTTTTTAAGGTTTCTTTTTTAATTGTATTATTTTTATGTGTACTGTCAAGTCAGATCTGACTGGTACAGGAGGAGATTGCCCCGTCCTTCTCTAGCAGAGCATCTGGTGGATTTGAACCACATACCTCTGGGATTGTAGTACAGCGTCTTGCCACTAGGCCACCAGAGCTCCCATTTAATGATTTTTTTAACGTACAAAATGGCCATTTCATATATTTTGACTAATACTCTATAAACAATTAATATGTAAAAAAAAGGTGACAGACTGAAATAGAGGCTCTTCTCAGAAATGAGGTTGAGGGATTGGCTGACATGTAGCCTAGCCCACAGATAACATCGAAGGATACTGGAAAGACATTTTCTTCCTCTCTCCCCCTCATCCCCTTTGAACGGTCACTTTTCTTTCAGAAGCACTGGAATCCAAGCTGTAGTGTGTCTGAGTGTGTTAGCTCCTGCTGTGTTCGTACAGCAGCATATCCCTGGCTCTGGGGCTACCCTGGAGGGACTGAGGAGACAGGCATGCCAGCTGTGATCCCGCATGAAGCCTGGGGCTGCAGTGTGCCGAGGCTCTCAGGGAGCTAGAGGAGGGCTGTTTCTCTCCACCTGCCTGAGGTACTGAGCAAGAGAATAGTTGACAGAATAGGAAATCGAGAACCCAGACCAGGTCTTGGCCGGTGGCAGAAGTGGAGGTACCTCTGCATTAGGGCATCCAGGCAGGATGTATAGCCCTTGGTCTTTGCTGAGGTGGCATACTGCCATGATGAAGCACAGACAGTCCAGTCTCTGGACTCTCACTGCTTTGTCCGGGGTTGACCTTGAAGAGACTAATGGGAGCAGGCAGACTATGACTGAGGCAGCACAAGGCGCAAAGTAAGGGGAGAGAAATTTACCTCTAGTTCCACTCCCAGCATTGATATTTTTTGCTGCTTTCCAGTTCGTTTGACTAGTAGGATGTAATTTTTGCATATTACTGTTGTGGGACGGATTATGGTCCTGCCTGTTCTTGTAATGCCTTGAGCATGCCCTGCCTTGTGTGATTGCTAATGATGACATCATATTCTGTATAAGCGTTTCCACCAGGTATTGTCAGTATTATGTGGCAGGCATTTCATATCTGTGTTTATTATGGAATCCTTTTCCTTGGATGCTCTTTTCCCCATTTCTGGAAATCAATCCAAATAAAATAATTTCAGAAGGGTGATCTTTGTGGGAGGGTTTGGAGGGTGCTGAGAGAGTGAGCGCCCTGATGTGGAGTTCCCTTCCCTCAGGCATTGCTTCACCGGAAGCTACCCAGTCATCGAGCCTCTGTTGAAGTACTTTCCCAACATGTCCGTGGGCTTCACAGCAGTCCTGACATATTCCTCTGCCTGGGAGGCCCGGGATGCTCTGCGACAGATCCCACTGGAGAGAATCATTGTAGAGACTGATGCTCCTTACTTCCTCCCACGCCAGGTAGGAGTGTCTACAGGCTGAGTTGGGGCACTGCTGGGGGGGGCATTAAGTACCTTCATGAGGCTGGCCAGGCCCAAGCCTTAGTGACCTCTAGGTCCACCCTTGCCCGTGTAGATGTCTCCTTGCTGCTACTCTGCAGAATCATGGGTCCAGGGGGCTGAGAAGCTGAAGAGTAACCACTCTCTTCCAGGCAGTGCAAAGCCCTACCCTGTAGAGGGTAGTCCAAGGAAGCGTGGGACCCTGCTCACCCAGAGCCCCCATGACTAGGACTCACCCTGCACCTGCAGGTAAAGGGGTCTCTGTAGGGCAGCCCCACAGAGGTCCTTGCTGGGGAAGGGACAGGGAGGGAGCTCTTTGCATGGTTGTGCACAGATGGCACAGTGATGTTCTGAACACTTGATGTCTTCCAGGTTCCCAAGAGCCTTTGTCAGTATGCCCATCCGGGACTGGCCTTGCACACTGTCAGAGAGATTGCCAGGGTCAAAGACCAGACACTGTCCTATACCTTGGCTGCTTTGCGTGAGAACACCAATCGCCTCTACAATCTTTAATAAAGGGATGCATTCAGGAGCCCTCAAGAAAAGGTCACAGCACTCACATTATTGCTCTTTTAAAAATCAGAATGAAATGTCTTTTACTACATTTTCTTAATGTAGAGAATATAAATGTACATTCACTCATTTTATCTTGTGTAAACTCACTGTTTTCTCTTTCAACCTCTCTAGGGAGACAAGGGCTGGGTTTGAACTCTGCCTGTATCCATGTCAAAAGATGTATTGAGAACCCACTGGAGCAGAGAAAGCCAGGACAGGATGTTTTCCTCAAAATCTCTTCATAAAGCTTCTGCTTCCAACGGGTGGGGTGGGTGAGGGGTGAGAGAGACTGCCAGTAATGCCCTCAGGCTTTGCCTCTCAGTGAAAATGCTCCAGGCTAGTCCACGAAGCAGAAAGTATGAAGGTACAATGAAATTGCCAATCCAAATCCCCTGCTCTCTGCAGTCTGTGAATAAAGTCACCCTCCTAATCATCAAGCACGTGTGAGTATGTAGCTTGATTCCGGGGTCTCAGCCTCAAAATGAACTCCCAAGTGGGACATCTTGAGCAGAAATTTTCTGACTAATCTTCAGAGGTTTAGTAAATGATCCCACTTCCTTCCTTGGACCCTTCCTTGGATGTCATTGTCATCTCCAGCATCGGCTTAGCAGAAGGACCTGGGTTTCTGGTCTGGTTTCAGAGGTTCCACGTTGTGGATGTGGGGAGAGAGGATACTTAGTGTTCTGTTTGATGGTGGTCCAGGACAGATCAGGGGGCCTCAAGAAGAGCCCAAAGAAGGTGTTTGTGCCTGCTGACGCTTCCTGGGCTGCTCCTTGGGTGTGTTAAACTGAAATGTTCTGGTTACAGCCGAAGCTACCTGCTGCTATGCCGTCAGAGGTCCCAACCTTGCTTTGCTCTATTCCTGTCTCCTTCTGGAATACTGGGCCAAAAATACTCGTGTTGAATCCCTTGGAATAGCCTGTCCAGTACCTCACCCAGGTCGAGAGGTCTGAGTCTCCAGAGTTGTGCAGGTGACTCCTTGCCTGTGTAGATGAGCAGGCCTAGTGTCCCAAACATCCCAGTCCTGTGCAACCGTGCCTGGTTTTCTCCTTTGCCTTTGCTTACTCTATGGCCTTTCTTTCTCTCTGTGTTAAATTTGCATTTCCTTCCATTTCAGTGGCAAACATGCCATCTCCAGTTTTAGTCCCTGCTCCCTGTGTGTGCGCCTTGTAAAGGTCCATTTGTCTCAAACCCAGACGTTAAGGATGAAGACACTGCACTGCACCTAGAGGAGGCTTCAACTTAACCTGCAGGGGAGACACAGGCCATCCCAGCTCCCTGGCCTTGTTTCCTAGAGGCTACTAGTTCACCTGGTAAAATCTGAGTTTTTCTCCAGGTGTTTTTTTTTTTTTTTTTTTCAATTTTTTTACTTTTTTATTTTCGTGTGAGTGTACTGTCAAATCAGATCTGACTAGTACAGGAGGAGATTGTCCCTCCTTCCCCGGCAGAGCATCTGGTGGATTTGAACCGTGCACCTCTGAGATTGTAGTTGCAGCTCCTTGCCACTAGGCCACCAGAGCTCCCCTCTCCAGGTGTTTTTAATAAGTTTTTTTTGGAGTTCTGTAAGCCAAAATAGAGAAGTTCCTGGGTGGCACAAATGGTTACACACTTTAATACTGACTAAAAGGTCGGAGGTTTGAAATCACCCAGAGGTGCCCAGCTGCTTCTGGAGGGTCATAGTATGGAAACCTGTTCAGCACTTCTGCACACAGAAGTCAGAACTGACAACAAGCAACTGGAATCTAAAATGAAATGGATTGGATTATTTCATACTTGGTATTTCCATTTTGTACCTGCAACAAAGTGCTTGCCAGAGTCTTCGTCAAATCAGCCGTGCCTCAGATTTGCCACTCTGGGGAGTCATTTGGGTTTTGCAATTGTTTTAAAAGTGCTGTGATGTCAGCCAGGTCCACTGCAAGACAGTACTGCCCATAACTCTTGTCCTGGCTTGGAAGATTCAGAGTGGTAACCCAGTGGGTGTTTCTGATCTCACACAGGCACTGTTCCCAGAAGCACAGGGTGCAGTCCATGCCTTTAACTCTCAGTGATCATGTCAAGTGCGGTTTGATGGTGTGAATGCTCCTTGGTGGTGGTTTTTGTCCAGCTTTGGGTGGCTCATCTGCTGCAGGAATGCCTCTGTATCCTTCCATCCCTTCCTTTTTGTCTTTTTTTTTAAAATAAACTAATGCTTAGAGCAGTAAGTATCTGTGCTTTCCAAGTTTGTTTATATTACTTTGAATGATGTCAGAACTCTGGCAGCATAGTCCATAGAGAGCTGAGTGTGCTTTTAACTCAAAGACCATGCCTCTGGCGGTTCAAATCCACCTGTGGCTTTTCGGGAGAAAGATGCCATAGACTTTCATGCATCTGACAGTCTCTGAAAACCTGCTGGAGGGTCAGCTAGGTCCTGACCCGATAGCAGTGAGTGAGTGTTTCAGTTATTAGCTTTGTAAACTCACATGCATCTATCCTCAAGGACACATGTATATCTGCAGTTCAGCTATGAATACAAGACTACATGGCATAGTCTTAAAAATTGTACTAAATTTGAGTGTTAATTCTCATTTTACCACCAAGATGGTCTTAGATGC